ATTTTCCAAGATAATTAAAGCCTTAAATATGCAGATATCTAAACAAAACATCAACACAGCGGAAGACTGAAAGAGGAATATATAAATTAGAAGTAAAAGGGGTGCTATGCCACGCTCATCCAGAGATGAACGCACAGGCTAACATCTGCATAATTGAACATCTAAAACCATACATGTTCAAAGAACTAAGTCTAAACTGGGCTCACAGGCCACAAAACATAGGAAAGGAGCTACACTAGCTGGCACTATACCGCGCTCTCGTCTAAACATCACCTGAAAGAAACACTTAAAAGATGGGACGACGCCTGGTCGGCGAATGATGCTGGTAACCCACCAATACTTGTGAAATATCATACATAGATAAGATATATGTTTGTAAAGCCTTTTGCGAAACGGAATACATATATATAAGTTCAAAACCAAGAGCAAAAGTCAACACAAGACTCAAAGCACTCACAAGAAGATAAGGGAACACATCCCAAGACCACAAAGGACAACAACAACTCACAAGGACGGCTCAAGGTATAATCTATCATCACACAATAGATTAACACCGGACATGCATAGCATAAGAGATAGGACACAACCAACGACAACACATGCCTTTGTGACTACACACGTCACAAAACAGAGGAATACACAACAACGACTACACAAGCCTTCGTGACATCACTCATCACGAATTGAGATGCCTTCCTTATGCCCGGTTCCAACCTTATGGCTACCCCCAACCTTATGTCTAGTTCCAACCATTACCTCCAGGACCCCTGTACAACCAAGTCCAACCTTTTCCCACCTGGGACCGTCGTCCCCCACCAACGACCACCAACAAGACCACCGATTCATAGTACACAAGGTACCGATCACACACACGGCAACACATGCCACCCAAGAAATACGTGAACCCATCACTCAGGTCACAAACTCCATAATCACGTCATGGCCACCACGAGGACCACTGCAATACCTTGGTGACTAGTGTCCTATACCACTAATCGTGCAATCCAGGTAAAGCCACACACACCACACCTCAACAGGAATCAATTAACGGATCACAACGAAGATATGAAACCATACTCAATCAAAGAATGGATCACAGTCCAACAACAACGATGAATAACACAAGTTATCGTCAAAGATAGGAAGGTACAAACAACACACACGCTAGCATTTAAACACCGAACTAGCATGCTTATCAAACGGGTAAACCAAACGTAGTTCCGAAGAACACACAAGACTCATCACGGTTCAACGAAACACAATGTTGAACACTTAGCACGATTCAAGACACCAAAACCTACATGGATTCCTACCATATAGTTCTAGACATACGAAACATCAAGAAGACACTCAAATAGTTCCACAAAAGAACATCGGGAAGTCAAAAGACCAAATACCAAGTCAAAAGAATCACGGGGAACAAATCCCCAACCAACCACACCATGTACCCCGCGGGTAGACCCACGGGTAGACCCCTACCCGCGGTTCCGCCCGCGGGTACATACCCACGTTCAGCTTGTACCCCGCGGGTGGGTGGCGGGTAGGCCACTGCCCGCCATTCCGCCCGCGGGTACATACCTGTACACCAAAATAATCCCTTCGGGGATTTTCAACTCCAAGCTCAAATTCAAGTCCAAAACATGCCAAATCTCACCAAATACAACAAAGTGACTTGAATCAAAGGAATAGCCAAGCAATGACATACAAGAACCCTAAACACAAGCTCTAGATATGCATTTTCACAAGACAAAGCATAAACACTCACATTTCATAGCAAAACACATGTAGAATCCAAGAAATCATCAAATAGGTAAGCAAAATAGATTTTGTAGAGCATGGGTTACCTCTTGTAGACAAAAACCTTCTCTTAACACTTCACCAAGTTCCTAACAAAGCTCACCTTCCACACCCACTTCAAGAACACACCAAAAGATCATAAAGATTCTATTTTTAAGAAAAGACACCTTAGAAAACACTAAAAACACAAGATGAACATGGATCTTACCCTCCTAGATGCCCAAATGTATGAAAGGTAGAATCTTGGAGACAGCTCTTGAAGTTTTGACAAAGCTTCAACTTGGCTTGGAAGAAAAGCTATCTACCTTTTTAGAGAGAAGGTGGAGCTAGAATTTGGAAAGTGTAAGGAGAGAAATGAGGGTGTTCTACTAGGTTAGCTTACAATACTAACACAAGGTGAAAAGTCAAGAATACCCTTACTAACATGAAGAGGTGTAAGGAAACAAGGGCACTCCTTACAAAGCTTAAGGTACAACCTTGACTTTGGGGTTGACTAGTCAATTACTAGTCCCCGACTATTGAATTTTCAGGATTTTAGGAATTAAATTACCAATTGAAATAGGACTAATTATTTAATTAATCCCTTAATCGAATTTTGATTTCGGGGTGTCACATCCTCTCCCCCTTCAAAGAAGCTTCGTCCCCGAAGCTTGGGTACGACGAATTAGAACAAATGGTAAAAAGGAACATCAATGTGACAAGAGTGTCAAGAACAATTTCTTTTGGTCAAAACCCAAAAGATTCCTCAAAACTTCAAGGCAAGAAAGAATTCAAAACAAGGATTGGCAAGAATTTAAACAAACAAATATATTGAGCATAACGAACTCTAATCCCAACACAAACACGAACTTCTAACTAATAACTAGGAACTAGACACCCAACTCAAAACACCAACTACAAAACTATCTAAACAACAAAACAACAAGCAAGAACAAGCATACAAAGCAAGCATCAAACAAATACCAAACGATAACAACGGCTAAGGAGATAGCAACAACTAAGGAAGGGCGAACAAGACGGCCACAACTCCACTCTAGAAGGACTCGCTCTCCGACTCCTCGGTGCTCTCCTCGGATTCTTCATCATCCTCTCCTCTGCGGCTTGAACTGGCCTCGATCTGATCTAGCCTTTGGTGCACGGCGACAAACTGCGTCTTCATGTATGCGAAGCCTTCTTCGATCATGTAGTTCTGTTGATGAAGCAAGGTGAAAACACGCTTGTAACACCCCGTGTTACGACCCCTAAACCAAATTAATTAATTAATTACTCACCCTAAAAAGGGAATTAAAATCCATTAATTAGCTAAAAGGGGACCCACCATAGTCCATGGGACCTTATCCCTAAAGCCAATCCCTTAGTCCTATATGAAATAGAATTAGTAAATCCATACCACTTAGCTTAGACCCTAATTGGGACTCTTAGATATATAAATAGGGACATAGGAGGCACCTAGAACTCACACCACAATAACTTTCACCACACAAGAATTCCCATAGGAGAAATCAAGAAAGAAGAAATCTTAAAGAAAGACCCTTCATAGCCAAGGAAATTAATTAAGGCTATGAGGTAACCCATGTCTCAACAAAACCTATTTTCCTTGCTATAATCTCCTTCTTTGGCTCCCTCTATATGCTTGTGTCTTGATGAATTCCTTTATGATAATCGTGATATAATCTTATTGATTGATGTGATGGTTTATGTGTGATCTTGATGATCTTGATATTAAAAAGGGGTTCTTGATAGTTATGTGATGATTCTTGATAAATCTTGATGTTTCTTGATGTTAGAGATAAAATATGATTTTGATAAATTGGATGGGATTAGAGCCCTAGGTTGGATTGGGAATTTGTATTATGATGTTCTTGATTTATATTTGGGTGGGAATTCGCATGTTCGGGTGTTGTTATGTTTAGAAGTCATGTTAGGATGTGTTCAATATGATTCTTGCTTTTGATCCGTTAATTGCCTATGTGGTGTCGTTATTTGCGTTTAAAAGTGCCTAAGCATGGTTTCGGGTTCCACAAAGGATCCCGGGACGCTTTATTTGATGAAAGAGTCAGTGGGGGGTAGGGGGACCCGCCACCTACCCGCTGCCCGAGAATCACCGCCAGGCAGCGGGCAGCCGTCTGCCCGCCAGCCACCCGCTGCCCGGAAGATCGTCGCCGGCGGGTGGCCCTCCACCCACCGGCTACCCGCTGGTCTGTTACCCACCCCGGGTCCACGGCTTCCCCGTTTGATGTTCCCCATTCCCCGTGGTGTCCCAACAGACCCCATTTGTCGTGCTTGAGTCTAGTTTGATGTTTTGGGTGCCATTCGTAGGATAGAAGAGTCTTAGGAATTACATGCTAGTGAATCGGTAACCTGTTGGCCTAGGAGGAAAATGCATGAACCCCTTAAGAATACTCTTAGTATGTGAATGATCACACGTAAGTTTATTTATACATCTCCCCCTTCCCAATGTGTTATTAGGTGCTACAATGTGTTATGTAATGCATGATTCCCCAATTTGGTTGCGATCAAATTGGGTGTTCCTGAGCTGCGGTTCAGAAGTTGGCTGCGGTCAAATTGGTTACTTATAAGCTGCGGTTCATTTTCCTGGCTGAGGTCAGTGATTCACTTCTTGGGCTGCGGTCCATATGGGCCTCGTGCTGTGGTCCACCGACTGGACGCGCCAGGCGGTGTGTAGGACCATTAGCCCGAGGAAGGCTGTAGTCCACCGAATGAGTGATCAGACGGTGTGTAGGGCTACGTTTGGCTGCGATCCACCGAGTGATGGGCCAGCGGTGTGTAGGGTCGTAGTCTCCGAAGATCATCGCCCACCGAATGAGTCCCTTAGGCGGTGTGTAGGGCTTGATCTGCTACGACCCACCGACTGAGTTCATCAAGCGGTGTGTAGGGTCGCAGTCCCCCCTTGTAAAGAGGATCACAGTCCACCGACTGAGCGCGTCAGCGGTGTGTAGGGCTGCGATCCGCTGTTGAGTTCGTCAATGGTCTATGCGGTTGGTTGTGATCAACCCCCTTCATGCTGCGGTATGAGGTAGGGTGCTGCGGGGCCGTGTTAGTACTATATGTACTAACCCTCATGTTTGGGGCATGCGATTGGTCCCGTGGCGCCCCCAAAGTATGCTTGTGTGACTTGAATGATGATTGATTGATTATATGAACAGTTTGGAAGTGAACGGTGACCTTAGATATATGTTCTTTATGATATTGTCTCTATATAACTGTCTATCATCACTTAATGTGCATATCCCTATCTGTCGAGTCTATCCCTAGTTTTAAAGCTAGAGTCTCCTAAGTATATATCTTCTTGCTTCAAAATGGTTTTCATATATCTATATATATTTCTACCTATATTGTATTTCAACGCGTTGGAGTGGGTTACCAGCATCACTCACTGAACAGATATATTTGGCTTTCAGGCACTGATGAGTAGACACCGGAGCGCGCTAGAGATCTGGAGCGTAGAGTAGTTAGTTTCCCTTTCGGCCTGCATGCCATGATTATGTATTGACATTGCTTTGAGGTCATTTAATTAGTTTAGCATGTGCATATGAGTTCCCCAGCTCAGATGTGGCATAGCACCCCGTACTCTTATGTTTGATTTTGGGATTTAATGAGAAGTCACCTTTATTATATAAGTTTTAAAAGTTTCAAAATTTCGGGGTGTTACAGTTGGTATCAGAGCCTAAGTTTGACCCTAGGATAAGACTCTTAAGAACAGATTTTAGGACATTAGGCTTAAACTCTAGGAGTTCAGGAACATAAGATTTAGGAATCATAGGACGCGCGGTGAGATTGTGAGACCCCTAGACTCTCCCTCACACTAATTCACACCTAATTTAAAGAACTCTCATTCGCTTATCACATCAAGGTAAGGGTACAACACTCTAACTCAACATTACTATAAACATTGGCTCTATAGATCAGCATCATGGCACCAAACAGAAGACAATCAAGGACCCCGGAACCCGCCTCACACGACCCCCTGGCTCAAACCCTACAGCAACTAACCCAAGTCGCCCAAGCACTGAGCGACGTAGCTCTCCGCAACAACCGACCACCACCACCTCCACCAAACACAAACTCAGAAGTCGCCCGACAAGTTTCAAATCATCGACCACCCACTTTCTCGGGAGAAGAAGATCCCGCCATCCTTGAGGAATGGATTCGAACCTTCGACAAAATTCTGGGGTTGGTAGAATGCCCAGAAGAACGTCATGTAGAGGTAGCCTCGTTCTACTTCGGGCACGAGGCAGACCTTTGGTGGATCCACGAGGGACCCACTTACAGGCAGGAACCAGGGTTCAACTGGGAAAACCTGAAAACACGACTACGAGAAAGATTCTACCCAGCACATGTAAGAGCACCTATGCACGAGGAGTTCCTCCACCTAAAACAAGGAACGACTACCGTCATGGAATACCATAAATGATTCCTCGAACTAGCATGCTTCGCGCCATAACTAGTCCCTACGGAGGCAACCAAAATAGAAAGGTTTGTATCAGGCCTCAACTTCGAAGCTCGAAAAGCACTAGTAGTAAGTAGACCCCGAACCCTCAACGAGGCTTACTCCAGTGCCGCCAATCTCTATCGGATACAACTACTACAACGTGGGGTTCAGCAACAAATTCAAAAGAGGAACACAGGAGGTGGAGCACCACCTATAAAACCAACGAGAAACGACGCTAGCACGAGGCCAAGCAATCTAACTGGCCAGAGACCACCACTAGGAAACAACGAAGCTAATACAGGGAGTTTCCCTTGCCCAAAATGCAACAAGAACCATAGAGGCAAGGACTGCTTGGGAAACCCCTGGCGATGCTTTAACTGCGGAGGAGAAGGACACAAGTCCTTCCAGTGCACTTGACCCTCGAACTCACGCCCTACATTCATGGGCCAACACGAAGGCACAAACAACTAGGGGAATTACAGTGCCCCCGGAAAGGTGTTCGTCATGAGCCGCATACAAGCTGAACTCGAGGACGAGGGCAACCTCGACGAAGGAAACATGGTTCCAGGAGACGAAGACCACGCAAGCCCACCAGAAGAAAGCCAAGAAGATGAATTTTGTCTAGGATAACTAGCGAATCCCTTGTAACCACCATCGTAGTAGAATTACTTGTTTAAATTAGCTACTTCGGAATTATTATAAATAAAGAAGCAAAAATCAAAATAATTTAGCATAAAGAAAAAGGGGCTAGAATACTCAATCAAGGAGTGGATCACAGTCCAACAACAACGATGATTAACACAAGTTATCATCAACAATAGGAAGGTACAAACAACACACACGCTAGCATTTAAACACCAAACTAGCATGCTTATCAAACGGGTAAACCAAACGTAGTTCTGAAGAACACACAAGACTTATCACGGTTCAACGAATCACAATGTTGAACACTTAGCACGATTCAAGACACCAAAGCCTACATGGATCCCTACCATATAGTTCTAGACATACGAAACATCAAGAAGACGCTCAAATAGTTCCACAAAAGAACAACAGGAAGTCAAAAGACCAAATACCGAGTTAAAAGAATCACGGGGAACAAATCCCCCAACAACCACATATTGTTCCCTGCGGGTGGACCTACGGGTAGGCCCCCACCCGTGGTTCCGCCCACGGGTACAACACCCACCGGCCATATGTTCCTCGCGGGTGGGCGGCGGGTAGGCCACTGCCCACCGTTCCGCCCGCGGGTACGTACCTGTGCCCAAAATAATCCCTTCGGGGATTTTTAACACCAAGCTCAAATTCAAGTCCAAAACATGCCAAATCTCACCCAATACAACAAAATGACATGAATCAAAGGAATAGCCAAGCAATGGCACACATGAACCCTAAACACAAGCTCTAGATATGGATTTTCACAAGACAATGCATAAACACTCACATTTCATAGCAAAACACATGTAGAATCCAAGAAATCATCATATAGGTAGACAAAATAGATTTTGTAGAGCATGGGTTACCTCTTGTAGACAAAAACCTTCACTTAACACTTCACCAAGCTCCTACTAAGGCTCACCTTCCAAACCCACTTCAAGAACACACCAAAAGATCATAAAGATTCTATCTTTAAGAAAAGACACTTTTGGAAATACTAAAAACACAAGATAAACATAGATCTTACCCTCCTAGATGCTCAAAGGTATGAAAGGTAGAATCTTGGAGACAACCTTGAAGATTTGAAAAAGCTCCAACTTGGCTTGGAAGAAAAGCTATCCAACTTTTAGAGAGAAGGTAGAGCTCTAATTTGGGAAGTGTAAGGAACAAGAATGAGGAGTGTCTACTAGGTTAGCTTGCATTACTAACACAAGGTGAAATGTCATGAATACCCTTACTAAAATGGAAAGGTGTAAGGGAACAAGGGAACTCCTCTCAAAGCTCAAGGTACAACTTTGACTTTGGGGTTGACTAGTCAATTACTAGTCCCCGACTATTGAATTTTCAGGAATTTAAGGAATTAAATTACCAATTGATTTAGGATTAATTACTTAATTAATCCCTTAATTGAATTTGGATTACGGGGTGTCACAAAACCTCATTCCACGTAGAGCATCTTTGTCTTATCTTTGGGATTAAATTGAGAAGTATGTGCATGTCTTTTGCATAAGTTATGTATTGCATTTACGAAATGCATGAGTGATATATCTATGGTGAGGAAACCTTGTTTTGGAGGACCCGTTTGGACTATGTCCTCTCGGATGAATTGTTATGGACATTGCGGTCCAGTACATGTAACGCGGTGTATTCCCACGTTACGAGGTTGAAAACTGCCCGCCAGGCTTGGAATCCTGGCAAGGGAGTGTGCATGCTAAAATTTCGATACCTGATTCCACAGAGTTTGAGCAAAGAACCAAGAGAGTGGTTCTGTGGACGAGATGAGTATTAGGCCGGCTAGACACCGTGCCTGGATAGCTTCGTTCACGATACGGTGAAGTTCCTACCTCGTCCATTTGCAAAGAAAGCAAGTCATTGCGACTCTAAGAAAGAAAGAAAGAAAGAAAGAGAGAAAGCGAGTCATTGCGACTCTAAGAAAGAAAGCAACCGAGTCCTTGTGGCTTTAAGAAACCTCCACAGAAAAGTATTTTATTTTACAAGCGAGTCTATGAGTATACTTATAGATAACACATGTTTTGCATAAAGAGAATGTTACACGAGATTGCATTTGAGTATAGTACTTGCACGAGTTTCATATGAGTATAGTATTGCATGAGTTTGCATAATGAGAATGATTAACCGAGTTTGTTTATGAGCATAATTGCCTAGTGCATTCTGAAGTCTTCTATGTCCAGTTTTGCCTAATGAGAATTTGATAGCATGAGTTAGTTATGTTGAGATTTGTTATGAGATATATGTGTTGGTATACTTATGTTGATGAGTTATTTGTATTTTGAAGCATGCCTGTTGATATTATAGGTTGCAAGCATATAGAAAGGCTGTGATGTAACTATAGTTGCCTATGTGATGAGATTGTTGATTATGAATGTTATCAAATGTTTTTCAAAGTATACTCTATAGTACTTTACAGGGTTGAGTGTGGTTATACTTAGCTTTGTGCTAATAGGTGTTTTCCTATTTGTCTATGTGTTGTTTGTAAAACCCCTTTCAGGTGGGCCCATGCGTTGAGAAGTGATCGAGTTAGACTAGTCTAGTAGTTATAGAAGTCTAAACTCTTAATGTTTTGATTATGATGTTATTTATCGGATTTTAAACTTATGTTGTTTTGATGTTGATTGATGATGTAGACATCGGGGTGTCTTTTCCCCTTATGACTTTTGACTAAGTTCTATGGATGTTAGTTATTCTATCTTTAGTTCTAGTTCCACCCATAGCCTATGCAATCACCACGGAGTGGTGGTTGTGGCGGTGACATTCCCACAAATTTTCTTATTAAGTTGTTTATCCGCTGCTTAGATTATGTTAATTGTGGTTTAGGATTGTAATTAAGATTTAGAAAAAGTGGGGTGTTACAATTTCGCGTGGTAGGATTAATTGTGGTAGGGTTTCTAAATGCTTTCTAATTCCCTATATATAGATTTAGGAGTCCTAACTAGAATCTGAATAGTAAAGGCCCGCTTTTCCTATTTCTTATAGAATTAAAGGCAATTACAATTTCTGGATAGGACTCCTGTCATGAAACTGGTTACTCACCGGGGTTGCTAAAATTCTGGGAACATCTTCTCCAAGAAAAATATCCCTGAGGA